TTTTTTTTTTTTTTTTTGGTACCGGGGATAGAACTTGGGACCTTACGCTTTTGAGGCAGGCAGCAGGACCACTGAGCTAAATCTCCAGCCTTGAACACACATTTTTATAAGCACCTTCATTGTCAACTATACTCAAACTCATTTTTCTACATGTTAACCATCTCGCGCTCATCATCCTGCTTCAATGAAATAGAAGTGTGCATCCTCTGTCATGTGACCCTGCAATGCCTCCTTGTAGGCAGAACATGCATTTCATCCTACTGACTTTGGGTCTGGCCATGAGATGTACTTTAACTAACAGAATATGGGTAAAGATTCAGTGAGCCACTTCTGAGCTGAGACATGGCAGATTCTTAGAAGGAAGTCCTCTTGTACTTTCATTCTGAGACATGCTCAGACATGTTCCAGGTATTTTTGTACTTTCAGCCTAGGTCCCAGAATAAAGACATGTGGAGCATATATGAAAGGCAAACAAGTCTGGATCCAGCTTGGTCCATCCAAAATCTAAACTACAGCTGACTTGCAGAATTGTGAGTGAAAGAAAGCCACTGGAATTTTGGGACTGTTACACATTCCTTTGTACTTTAAGTAACTTATTTTTCAGGATATAGCCAACATCAGAATCTCCATAAATAACATATTTGCCTCCACTAACATTCATTTAATAGGTGAAAATAATGCAGCTCAAAAGATGTTAAGGATAGTGAAAAAGTTTCTCCTACTTCTTTTTCCCTTGCACCCAGATTCCCCTGGCCGGAGGCAACCAGTATCACCCATTTCTAAGTATCTTTCCAGGCTGTACCGTGCTTTTATACAGGTAATTGCAAATAGCACAAAATATTAAAAGAACAAAAATGAAAACATTCTTTCTCCTTCCCAGCCACACAGTTCCTCTGTATTCCCAGGAGCAATCAATGTGATCAACCTGTGTATCTTTATCTCTCTTATCTCAATTGCTTGCTGCAGAATTCTCTTACTTGAGCCTGGGAGGTATTAATCTGGCTCAAAAATTCTGGACATTGAATGGATGACAATGAAGGAATTTAGTCTTCAGGGTCCTTATTTTCATAAAGGTACCCCTATGAATGAATATGCCTTGAGTCCCCCAGTTCAAAAATCCTCTACATTCTCAAGCTAAAAAGCCTCCATCTATGTCTTCTAACAACTGGAAAGGCACTCAAGAGGGTGAAACCAGGACAGGATATAAATATTCAATTGCTTCTTTAAAAGATTTCACCGACTTCCTTTTTAAGTCTTCCATCCCCAGCAACATCCCCTTCACTCCCAGCTCCAAAGGTGTAGGGTGTTGACAGTTTCTATGCATTTTCAAGATTCTGTGACTCATACAGAATTGTTTTATAGCATTCCCTACTGCTAATTTAGGATAATTTTAAAGTTTGTTAAAACATTTGCTGCAATGGGCAAGGTGGTACACATCTATAATCCCAGCACTTGGGAGGCTGAGGCAGAAGGAATGCCCCGAGTTCAAGGCCAGCCTGGTCTACATAGTCAGTTCAAGCCCAGCCTGGACTGCATAGCAAGACCCTGTCTTTAAAAAAAAAGACATTTGCGTCCTAGAGCCCATTTCTCTGGTGGGTTCATTTGGGAAAAAAAAAAAAAAAACCAACAAAAAAAAATGTCTGCAATTTTGTGAGATTTCAGGAGGGTGTAAAATTAGAGAGTGTTTTCAATTACTATCTCTTCCAATTCTGTAGCATAGGATCTGGTGTATTGTTTTGGGAACACTCTCCTCCAGACTTCCTGATGAACAGCTTGTTCAGCACAACTCGTGCACATGTCCTTGACTACTTCATAAACACTGCCATTGTCCACGACACAATCTCAAGGCAACCTGCTCTGTGTTTTAATCTCTGCCTTTGGGTTCAGATAAGGAAGGTTTTGAAGCCTGGCTCAGCCTTGATGACTTTCGCTGCAGATGGAGAAAATAACACCGAATTTCGACAGATACTGTGACCACGCACTGATCATCTATGACCTGAAATGAGTATCGTACGTAAACACAGGTCGGGAGAATCCTTTGCCACAGCTTGTGCTAGGGGATCAAAAAGCCATTAAAAACTCGACTTTTGGTAGAAACGCATTTGTGTGTAATCGGTTATGGCGACAGCTGTCATGGGGCAAACGTGAATGTTACTAAGAGTTTGTCTTCCGGGGGGTCGGGTCAGCACCACCCGACCAACCACGGTAGACACGAACAGAAGGAAACATTCCACAGAAGGAAACGTTCCGAAGCGGGAGTTTGGGGTCCGGGCCACTTGGGGACCATTCCTGCTCAAAAGCGCGCGCGTGCCGGGGAGCGGCTGA